CTCACTCGGCCTAAGGGATGAGGAAGGACTGAATTGCAGAACGACTAAGGAAATACTAAGTCAACATAAATCGACACACGAAGAAAGGCGAGAATGACCTTATCTCCAAAAGAGAATTCATCTACAAACATGATTCGATTAACGAGAAGCGGACACGAAAGATCTAACACCAAATTCCCAGAATTCTTTGAGGATTCTCAAGAACAAGAAGAATTGTCATGAACCCTCAACATCTAAAATTCAGAAAACCAGCGAAAATTACGAAGTTTAGGATGAGTGAACTTACACATGATGCCTTGCAGGAGCGGGGTCTAAAAAATTTGAAGAAGTTGCTGGAGAGATGTACGCACCAGGATTGCTGAGGGTTTCTGGTCGGAGAAGAGGATAGATCTCGAAAGCTCGGAATGTGAAAAATGAACAGGTATAGTGGGGAAGGCTATTTATAGGGGAGATGGCTAAACCCTAGCCTTTAGATCAAAGTAAGATCCAACGGTTAAGGTGACGCACAGAATTCGAGATGGCAAAAGTAAACCTGAGGCGGCGTGTCACATTCTAGTGCAAAATTTTGAAATTCAAAATGATTATGGATAATTTTGGGAAAGTCCTAAAGAATAAGCCATGGGCATTCCAGTCGAGCAAGATGAATCGTCGACAGGATGAGTTAAAAATGAAGACGAAGCAAGCTACCAACAAAGAGCATGGGAGAACAAAGAAAGTCATAAGCACCATCCACATCGATCGAAGGGAGCTTGATTACCAAATTTACTCTTAAGCTCGAAGTCGCTTAGAGTAATTGTTTTTGGTGGGGAGGGGGGGGACTAGATGATATAGCCCTATTATCATAGTCTGGTTCAGATGTTGGTTACTCGACCGGATGAACATTAATGACGACATCAACAAGTTGACTTACCTTAAGTCGACTGAGATGAGCGAGCACAATACAATCTCCGGATGCGCACCTGACCAAAGTCGACTCGACAATACCCGAAATCGACTTATAGCGCTTCGAGACACCAAGACCTCCGACGACTTCTATATACTTCAACATATCACAAGGAGACCTCTCAACAAGAGTGAATCTACATGAGATAAGGAGGAATCTCGATGTTGACTAAGAGGTAACGGAATGTAAACCGACCAGAACATTTTGGAAACATCATGTAAGTCGGCCAGGGCATTTTGGGTACTTCAAGTAAGTGTTTATACCCCTATATAAAGGAGCTGAGGTAACTCTAAACCCTAGCTTTGCATTCTCTATTCATTTCTCAGCTGCTGCTCCTACTGTGCGGAGCTCATCTTCATCACTCTCACTGACTTGAGCGTCGGAGGCTCTTCACCGGAAACACCTCCGGTGTTGAGTTCTTGCAGGTGTTCGTAGCAGTTCGAAGGCGACTTAAGGACGACTCGAGCAGATCGGTGCCCATTGTCACCGGTTCATTCCAGATCTCGGAGTAGTCCCATCAAACAGAGTGTTCGGAGGTTCACTCTGAAATAGTTTGAGGGATTTGAACTAGAAATTCCACAAGGGAGTTGTGGTCAGATAAGTAGTTGTGTGAATCAGTGTTCAAGTAGTGTAGAGGGAGTATATACTATAAACCCTTGGAGAGTGTGTGTGTTGTTCACATTAATGAAAGAGATCTGAAGGGAGAATGGGACGTTCTCCTGAAGGTTCAATTTTAAGTGCAAACTACTTCCGCAAATGTTGAATATTTGTTCTATTTGTTTTGTTTATTTTCAAGAAACTCTGATACTTGGTGCTCAAGTAACAAACTTCAGATTCCACAAATCACTTAGTCGATAATGTTTGGCTAAGTGAAGATGTTGAGAATGTCTCTAATTGTCAGGATAGTATGTTGATAAGACTACCTTGACAAATGTAGGTGTTTGACGACCCGTGCTCTCATCCTACCTGCAGTTGTGTGCCATATTCTGCTTCGATATCCAGACGAGTTGATTTTATGAATATCTATGCTGTGAGTAATTGATGTTATATGTATGGTATGATCAATGTATGCATGTGATTTGTACCGACCGTCGAATGGTTATCCCTGTAGTTATAGAACGGACCCTGTTGGGTGAATCTCCTCTTTTCGCATGTAAGGCCAGGGCAGGGCCCTCGGCCGGCGATAGACACCTCGTTGTAAGACCAAGGCAAGGGTCTTGGCCGACAGGTGACCTCGTTGCAAGACCAAGGCAGGGGCCTTGGCCGACAGGGGATACTCCTACTGTTTGGGCATCGTTGTAAGACAAAGGCAGGGGCTTTGGTATTCGATACGTGGACCAACAGTAGTCTATTGACTAGGTGTGCACATGAGGCTTGACTTTGGATAGGAGATGGGATAGATAATTGATTTGTATACATGTTGCGACCATACTTGTCCTATTATATTTGTTAATTATGTGCGTAGTAGTGA